CAACTTAGCTTGGGAAGAGGAGGAGTGGGGACCTTCAAGTAACTCACAAAAGATTAAATGCAAGATTTCTATTTTTTGTGTTGAGTGGAGGGTTGTCGACCACCTGGTAAGGGAGGTGTGCCAACTATATTCGCCTCTCACTGTAGATCCGTATCCGAACGGAGCGAGTCTTAGAGATAAGTTTGATAAGTATGCTAATGTGTGCAAGTCAACCCGGAAATGGTGTTCTACCGCAAGGTGAGTGTTGAAATTTATCCAGGTAGCTATAAAATAGCGTCTCACTCAGACGATTTCCCTTACTCATCCCAAACGCCAGTTTAAAAGCCATATCCGTGCCTCACACTCGATTTTGTAGTCGTTAGGAGGTTTTAAGCTTCTCAGGCATAGAACAATTACAGTATTATCATTGAAAAGGGAGTTTAGCTGTGTATGTATGACGGTACCTTTTATTTCTCTCGAGCAGTTTTCAACCGAGTGTCATGACTGCACTGACGCAAGGAGGAAAATGCTTGCTGGCAATCGACTCTTTCTTCGCAAATATATCTGGTTAGTTACTCAAAACACACAAAAAGGTTTTGCTTGGGCTTTGCAAAAGCTTCGATTTTACATTTTAAGAAAAAGCATAAAATGTTTAGACGGCACGAGTCTGCAGTCTGCCGCACCACCATTTTTACATATTTTTATGATCGTGTTAGAAGTAAGAATATCATAAGCGTGACAAAAAACAAAATAAAATAACAAATATGCAAATCACCATATACCTGCTGCAACTAATGAAGTTTGAGTTGTCGCAATTTGGGTCGTGGTTGCCATGGTCGTGGTAGCCTTGGTCGTTGGTGCTTTGGTTGTGGTGGGCATGGTTGTTGTGGCTTATCATATGCAGATTAAAAAAAGAGAGACAAACAAAAAGTTTATGATTAATTTTACTTTAGAGGTAGTGTCTAGCAAGTCGACGTGAAGAAAGGGACAGAACCGATTTACTTTTTTAGGAATAAAACGTGTATGCCAACTACCCCTTGCGAATTGGCAAAAACCTGGGCAGGTGATGTGTATGTGTTCTTATATTATTGCAAGACAGTTGTCACAGGTTCCCTTTGAAATTTCAGAAAAATAACCATTTTATAACTAAAACAAGTCAGGAAAACGGAAAGCTTGGTAAATTTGCACCTCTCGTGTATAACTTGTGAGTAATTAAACTAATTGGCAGTACACCCATTTTGTTGTTTTTTGAACTCACTCTTTAAAATAAAGTCCAAGGAATGCTAGTAGAATCGAGCTCCGTATTGCCACTTCGGGTCATTTGACTCTTTTAAGTTGAACGAGAATAAATTAAATTTTTCAACTTACGAATACAATTTTGACATGTTGCGTTGCAGTTTACGACCATAAAATTACGTAAAAAGCTGTCAGGCCCACAGAGACCCAAAACCCGATATGCTTCGCAGCTTTCAAACGTGTCTGGAAGGCATACTGAAAAATGAAAGAAACAATTCATTAAAGTCGTCGTTTCTCACGCACTTGCGTGTGAAATGTACAATAACAATACTTGTCGAAACGTCACGCCACGAAGATGGCTTCCTGTATTCATGTATGTGGCCCAGCTAGGCTCGAGATTTACCCCGTGGAACATGATACGTGACGTTCCTAGATTCGGGATTCCACATTGTGTATTCTGAACCCCAGGTGCTTAAGTCCAGATTCCACCCTACTGGATTCTGAATTCCAAAAGGCTGGGTCTCATTTGTTAGAGGTGAGAATGATATCATAAGCGTGACTAGAAACAAAGTAAAATAACAAAGATGCAAATCGCCATATACCTGCTGCAACTACCACGGTCGTGGTAGCCTCCGTTATTGGTGCCATGGTTGTGATCGCTTCGGTCGTCGATGCCATAGTTGTGGTGGCCTCAGTCGTTGGTGCCATTGTCGTGGTAGCTTCTGTCGTTGGTGCCATGGTCGTTGTAGCTTCAGTCGTGGGTACCATGGTCGTGGTAACCTCCGTTATTGGTGCCATGGTCGTGGTGGCCTCTGTCGTTGGTGCCTTTGTCGTGGTAGGTTCTGTCGTTGGGGCCATGGTCGTGGTAGCCTTAGTCGTTGGTGCTTTGGTTGTGGTGGGCATGGTCGTTGTGGCTTATCATATGCAGATTAAAAAAAATACAGACAAACAAAAAGTTAATGATCAGTTTTAGTTTAGAAGTAGTGTCCAGAAAGTTGACGTGAAAAAAGGGAAAGAACCGATTTCCTTTTTTTTAGGAATAAAACGTGTATGCCAACTACCCCTTACGAATTGGCAAAAACCTGGGCAGGTGTTGTGTATGTGTTATTATATTATTGCAGGACAATTGTCACAGGTTCCCTTTGAAATTTCAGAAAAATAACCTTTTTATAACCAAAACAAGTCAGGAAAACGGAAAGCTTGGTAAATTTGCACCTCTCGTGTATAACTTGTGAGTAATTAAACTAATTCTTACTCTTTAGAATAAAGTCCAAGGAATGCTAGTAAAATCGAGCTCCGTATTGCCACTTCGGATCATTTGACTCTTCTAAGTTGAACGACAATAAATTAAATTTTTCAACTTACGAATACAATTTTGACATGTTGCATTGCAGTTTACGACCATAAAACTACGTAAAAAGCTGTCAGGCCCACAGAGACCCAAAACCCGATATGCTTCGCAGCTTTCAAACGTGTCTAGAAGGCATACTGAAAAATGAAAGAAACAATTCATTGAAGTCGTCGTTTCTCACGCACTTGCGTGTGAAATGTACAATAACAATACTTGTCGAAAGGTCATGCTACAAAGATGGCTTCCTGTATTCATGTATGTGGCCCAGCTAGGGTCGAGATTCGCCCCGTGGAAGATGATACGTGACGATCTGAGATTCGGGATTCCACATTGTGTATTCTGAACCCCAGGTGCTTAAGTCCAGATTCCACCCTACTGGATTGTATTGAATACTACTGAATAGAAGTAGAAGCAATACACTTTTCATTGCAATTTCTTAAAGAACAGTTGAATATAAGCATTTCAGAGAAGAGCGCATTGAATTAGTGGGTGAGACTTTTGCTGTCTTTTTGACCTTTCAATGATACCATGAAGACATCGAAACGTTGTGCGTTTTTAGCTGCTTTTATTCATTTTCGCATTGGAATGTTGAGTGTACGTATAAATACAATTCCAAACCTTACTTGGTAGTGTAGAGTCCGGTGGCTCTACTGTAGTTACTGAAAAACGAGAAACATGTAATGATAATGATAATAATAATAATAATAATAATAATAATAATAATAATAATAATAATAATAATAATAATAATAATAAAACATTAAACTCTATATATCGGAGAACACGATGACATCACGTGACTTGAGTCTCGTTTAGGCAACCAAAGTTGTCTTTTTTATATGAATCTCAAGGGAGGGGGAGAGAGATGTTGATAACGGAATTATCATTTTAGATGGCCAGCCCAACTACATGGCTGACACTCGTTATAACATAATCGCTTACAAATATCTGAGCTTGTATCCAGAGAGAGTATTAGGAGTGGGGGAGGGGTGGGGGGATTCAGAAGGATTTTACGATATTTATCGAAAAGGTCTACTGATAAATCTCGCACAGTTAACATCCCTTGAGCAACTTACAAATATCTGAGCTTGAGAGAGTATTAGGAGTGGGGGAGGGGTGGGGGGATTCAGAAGGATTTTACGATATTTATCGAAAAGGTCTACTGATAAATCTCGCACAGTTAACATCACTTGAGCAACTTACATTGTCGCTTCGCTCTGACTTCCGCTGGCAATGGGTTAGCATAGCAGGCAACAAGAAACTTGACGAGAAAAAAGGTCGTGAGGGCGTACATTTTCCTGAAAAAGAGCAGAAGAAAACCTTTAGATTTACTTCTCGTATTAAGAAACTTTCCTTATTTAATAAATTACGAATATTTTTTCGCTAACATAATCTTACAAACAAAAACATCTTCAAACCATGTTGGCTAAAGTACAAGCCCATTATTGTTTTCCGTTCAAGTTTAAAGTGTGCAAATATTTATCTCAAAAAAATATTAGTTTACATTCTCTAATATTTGAGAACCTTCTGGTCAAAGGATGTAGTGAAAAAGTCACGGACTTCATCTTTTTCATTTCACCTATACCCCTAAAATAATTAAGTGAATGTAATTCACTGACAGGACGGTACGTTCAACTCACGACTGAGTTTTATTGATGGATGGGACTAAAAAAGCTGTCTTAATTTTTAATCATATGATTTCCATGAAATATTGAACCTCGTAATATTAAACTCAATTTTATTTATGCCAAGTTAGCAGAGAACAAGCAAGTTTAATTCTGAATTGTTTGGCTGATTTTAAAATCCCCAACCATATCTGAACTAACCATTAAGCAAGAAGCTTTGTTATTGTCAGAAATGTTTAGATCTGATCAAGTGTATTGTGCTGGCAGTGAGGAAAATTCGACTTATGATCCTCGGACCATTCTGAATCTATTTTCAGCCCTAAAAGGCGTCAAAAGGCGTCATCTATTTACAGACATTATTCCAAAGAACACAACACTCCTGTTCCGAACAATTTCTTAGCACGCTTCAATGTAATCAAGAAATGCACGAACAAGTTTGACTGCTTTGTTAATGAAATTCTGTGTTTTCAAGATCTCAAACCAGCATTGAATGTACAGTCGGATTCTCTTCGTGCTAAAGTATTCATGTAATTAGCTTAGCACTCTTTTATGCAAATTCGCTTCAACTTAGCCTCTTTACTTACGCATTTTATCCCCTACCTTGTAGGGGACTCATGTCCTATTGTCTATATACCAGTACTTTGTACAAATCCTCAAATAAATAAATAAATTAATTAATTATGTAACCTTGATAATGGCGCAAGATGCACCGAAAAGTCGGTTTCTTATATTTATGTTTAACTTATATTTCTTGTCTCATCTATTTCCAAATCGTCTCTTATATTAAAATCCTAGCTAAGGTTTAGCTTTAGGCGGTTTTAGGCAGGTTCAATTTTAGACACCTCATTTTGTTATCATAACATTCCTAAGCTGTTTAAATGTTTTCTATTTACATACTTCAAATGCTGGAGATCACAACATTAAATCGAAATGAACCTTTTAGTATCAACTACTTTACCATAACGTAACCCTATAATGATTATGCTGTGTTGGAAACAGGGCTGGGCTAACATTTTGCTAAATCAAGTGTAATCAGCCCATCAGAATTAAATAGTCTCTATTGGAAAAAATAACAAAATACCTCTCTAAACTTACATTTAAGTAAAGTCCACCTGAAAGACCTTTCTTTCTGCGAAGATGTCATTGAATGCCAATAATTCAAGGTTATATCATCATGAGGTTCATAACATCTAATTAATATCCGCAACAGAGACCTTAGACATCACGTCGGCGCTCATGAAAAATTTCGTCGGTAAATATTAAATATAGTACAAGGCTACCACAAAGTGAAAAAAAAAAANGTCTTCCTTTTTCCCACCGTTTTGTCTCCTTTGGAAGAGAGAGACAAACCCTGGGCATTTATTCTAGAAACTTTAGCCCTGAAGAAGACTGCAAACGAACGTATTTTTATTAAGATACTGGAGGAGTTTGATGATGTATTGGCGAAAGAAGGTAAAGAGAAAGACGAGAACTACCAGTTTACTGTGGCACAACTTAGAGCAAAGTACAAGTGGTTAAAAAAGGAATGGAGGAGGATAAACACGCTGCCATTGTGGAATTGTAACCGTGCCTAAGAAAAAACCCGTGTTCTATCCGTCTAATGTGAATTCAAGACGGAAGATATTCAACAGTTGATCTGTCTCGAATTCAGAACAAGACGGAAAATGGAGCAGACGGATCATCCGTCTCTAGTGTGAAAACGGCCATTGAGTCAATATCGGAATTCTATTTTGGTTTACCATCACTAATTCACTTATCCTCGCAGTAACGAACTGAGTTCGCCTCCTATTAAATAGAGGGCAGTAGCGACAAAAATGGGACACTAATATCTCAAATCAAAAATTAGACACTACTGTCTAAAACAAAAACTCAAACGGTAGTTTCTAAAATCAGAATCGGACAATAGTGTCCAAAATCCAAGATCGGATACTGGTGTCCAAAATCCATAATCGGACTCTAGTGTCCAAATCCAAAATCGGACACCATTCAGCTCAAAATCTAAATCGGACACTAGAGTAAATCCAATATAGGACACCATCGTCCAAAATCCACAATAGGACATTAGTGTCTAAAAACTTAAAACCGGACACACAGAATCAGACTGCTCCGTTTTAAAACTTATCTACGCTGTATCAGTCTTGCCTCTATATTTATATTCGTTATTTTGGGCCGATTAGATCGCTGCTGATCCAACGTACAAGAGTAGGATTATCGTCCACGGTTGCTTGCTGAACATTTCACAGTTAAAAGGGTTTGTGCCTAATCAAGCCCAAAATTGATACGTGACGCATGGATTTATGAGAAAGGTAAGAGAAGGTGATATTTGAAATTTTCTGTGTAAAAAAACTGTTTAAAGTACACGTGACGCGTGAATTTTTCTGATATTTGTGCATGAAACGGAGTCAGGAACCACCCCGTCCCTTCCCTCACCATCTCCTACTTATCAGCTTCCATTTTAACAGAGTACTGAAAAGTTTAATGGCAGAAGTTTACATTTCTGAAGAATTAGCCCAGATAACTCTAGCTTTTTTCAGCATACCAACCTGTTGAAATTGATAGACAAAATTGGTCAAATCACTTCCAACTGCATGTCCGTTTTGATCATTGAATACCCAACAGTTACCGCTTTTTCCATATTTGGAGTACATTGTCCCAGCATCCTCTCCGCCGAAGCACTCTCCGTAGAACTGAACACTAAAGTATTCATACCCTTTGTCAAAAGCCACCTGTGCGCACTGGTTTACCGTCAGATTCATTCTTGTCCAAATAATCTGTGATCGGAAATTAGCGTAATCTACGGGCAGAGCACGATCATCATATTTGTCATGGTAACATCCAATTGGTTGAATGCTTGGAAGAGGCTCTGCAGAAGATAGTTTTCGAACGCGTTAGTAAGTGTCGATGTCTCTGTAAACGTAACAAAGAAATATCTCCGTGGTATGTTACTAATAAGTATTAACAAAGATTGTATTTCTCAAGAGCCCCAAGAAACATATTTCAACGTATTCAGTCGCAGAGTGCGACCTCTAAAACGAACGAGTTTACAAAGTCAAGGGGCTCCTGACCTAGAATGCAGTGCCACAGCTTTCACCACTAATTTTTCCCAGTTTCCCGATTTAGCTCATTCTGCAACTAATCTTTACTGTCATAGCAGACTAAGATATTCCATTAAAGCTTACCTAGCGTGTACACAAACATGCTGTTTCCCATGCCAATACCATCTTTACACTTCGATCCATCAGTTCCACCGACGTAATATCTGTCAGTAGTGTCTGGTCCAGATAGACATAGGCCACTTTGACCCATGGCAAAAAGCTTGTAATCTTTTTCATGAGCCAATCTCGCGCACTTCTTGACAACTGCATTTGTGTTGTCCCATTCAATTTCATCGGTAAAATCATGGAGTACTTCTTGAAGATTATCAGCACCGTAGAAACATGCCACTTGAATTTCCGGAGGAGCTTTCAGGAAGAAGAAAATAAAGAAGAAAATAAAGAACAACATTAACGGCTGTCTTTAAAAAGATTATGCCTCGACAAAAGTCTCAATATCCTGATTTGAAATTCGGTTTAATCATCTCTATCATTACTCATCCTTGTTCATTCGTGGGTAAAGATCAACTATACTGAAGTACCATTTTGTACTGATTTCTTACGAGATTAACCCCTTACACCCAGGATCTCAACAGCAATTCTTTTTACTGTCTCCCATACAATTCTTATGATGTTAGATTGACGAATTTGGTATTGGAACTCATCTGCTTGATTTTGTGCTGATATTGCAAGGAGAAATTCTGAATGAAAGGTTAAGGTAGCTTTTTGAGATAAATTTCAGTATCTGAACAACTGCGCATCTACCCCGGCCCTCCCCTAACCTAACCCAACAATAGGCTAGGGGGTTACTGTTGGGTTAGGGGAGGGGTGGTAGCGCAGTTGCTTAGACATATATCCTATTATTTGTAAATACCATCCGAACATCTTTACGAAACCACAACCAGAACAAAGCGACAACAAAAACATTCAACACTTTTTACAGCCAGCTCTTTCTTTATTTACGTAACGTAGTGTTTAGCAAATGATACCAGAAGAAATGATTTCTTCACTTACGATCGCAGTGTTTGTCTGTGTTGCAAACAGCCTCAGTGACTGGTTTCATGGCATGACGACATAGTTCTCTAGCAGCTGGTACGATATGACCAGCCTCGTCTGTCCGTATGCACTCAAGCTCCCTTGTCATGAAACCCCCGCCACATGTTCTGGAACACTTAGAAACACCAAAACCATTTCATTTAAGCTGTACTTTGTTGAATTCCAATAAGGAAAAAAAATTAAAGCAGTCACTAACAAATTTTAAATCAAAAGGTCATTTTGAGGATTTAACGAAAATTTCTACCACCAGTGAAGGTTTCCATCAAATGAATATATATCTGTTTTTACCTCAGACCAAGGTAGACCCTTCCATTCTGCCGGACATGGCATTTCGTTGCACTGCTGGACGAGAGTAATCTTTGGTTTGTCACTCTTATCACACAGCACGTCGCTGACTTTCTCAAAATGAAATTCACTAAATTGCCTTCGACAGTAGACAAGTCGAGAATGACTCCCTTTTCCACAGGTTTTGGAGCACTCGTTCCAATCTGTTTGATGCCACCTTAGAATGGAAAGAATTTGATTATGATTATCACCACTTACAAGCGACAGATTGAGCCACAGTTAGGGTTGTAATATGTAAAATATATCCCACTATAACTGACCTAAAGCGCAGGAAAACGCGAGAAACTAAGTCAGCTCTTAGTTTCACGGGCATCTGGTCGAGAGGGTCCAGCGAGGTCTTTGCGAAACCAATTAGAGATGACGAAAACTGACTAAAAAAAATTGAAGTTATCTGTCTTTCATCGTGACATTACAGGGCACACTTACGCTGTCGAGCAGCTATTCTGAGTTTTGCAGACGATGTGTGACGCAGGCTTTACTACGTCGGAACAGGAATGCACTGATGCAGGAGTACCATCATCAGATCGAACGCAACTGAGATCTCGAGTTCTGACACCTAAAGTTCAGCACAAAATTGTCATCAAATGTTAGTTTAGTTTCAATTTCCTATAAGTCCTCTTGCTTGGCCAGTAATTAGCAGGACGAGGTGAATGAAATCCAACGCACCCCAAATTGCTTGAATACTCAAATAAACTAGGAGTCAGAGACACCAGACAACATTACCTTGGCCACAAGTCATTGAACAAGCAGACCACTTCCCAATGACCCACTTTGAACAGACTCTCTGAGAAGTTTCGTTTGATAATAATGGTCTGTAGTATTGAAAATCCACTCGTTGATTTTTTTCAGATAGAAAAACAAACTAGAAAATGAAACAAAATAAAAGACCAAAATCCACCAATATCTGCTGTATGTATTCTGACATGATAGGTAATTGAGAAAATATCAGGCGATACTCAATAATAAAACTAAACGGTGAAGTACTTTCTTTTTGGTTCATGAGGAGACCTATGATACAACGGTTTTAACAATTATAGTGGAAACTGTCAAAATCCATGCAAATTCGAGTGTCACCGGTAAATCTAGCGGGCGTATTCAGGGTTGATTTCGCTTTTGTCTCGAGCAGGGGCCTTCAAGTGGAGCGTGGGCCCATTTCCCGAACAGTGGCTAACAAAATTTTTGAAAATTATCTTTGTACAGTAGAACACCAAATGACGATGATCTTGCAAAAAAAACACCTTATGCTTTACAAACGTCAAGTTTGATAATCATATGTAGGAAATATATGAAGAGTTTCTGATTACTCTTCTGTTCGACTGGTTTCTTTAATCAACATGTAAAATCGCCGATTGAAACATTTATTTTCTTACCACAATTTCAAAGGGAATTTTCGTGGGTCCAGCTATAAATATAGAATCTTCATGTTTATTCCGTTCACTTTTGTATTCAATTTTTGTTCCATTGTAATAAACAGTTTGACTCCGGGAAGGGAGATTTATTATGTATTCACCGCTATGAGAATCTTTAACACCTGACGAGGACAGGAACAAAAATAAATGCTTTTGTTAGATATATAGCAAAACTCATAAATATTTACAGTTAATCGGTGGTACAATTGGCTCCTTTCAAGGACAAACTCGGCTACAAAATAAATTGTGAAAGATTGTAATAATCAAGCTCCTTCAGAGGCGGATCCAGGAATTTTTCATTGGGGGGGGG